TTTACTTTCAGATTTTGAAAACGCTGACACACATCTGTTTCAGTGAACGAAACATTCGATGTTAAGCGCTTGGCCGCAAAACAGCTGGGCAGGTCACGTCTGCCCGATTCGACTATGCACAAGCAGATTTCCAGTGTTGAAAATCAAGGCTCGGGACAACTTGTTACTGGTACTTTATCTTAATTAGTCAGATCAAGACCATCACAAAAAATAGTTACTACAGTAATTATTATAGTATCATAAAAACCATTTTTAAAAAATAGATGAGATTTCCTTTAAACGGGATTCAAGAATCTATGTCTTTTTGAGTGGCAACAACTAATAAAATAAGATAAAATAATATGAAATATAAAACCGTTACCAAAAAAAAAAAAATGACATCGCTTGTGCGTGAATAGGCAAAGTTGCAACAAGGGGAAAAGTGTATACAATATTTTAAAGTATTTCATATTCTACAGCTTTATATTACGTTTTTTGCACATAATAAATACAATTTATGATACAGACAACCAATTCAACCTTTTATAGGCCAAGGACCCCTTGGTGGACGACAAAGAGATGATGCATGAAAACTGTTAAATACTGTATAAAAGAGTTGCATATAGCCTATATAATAACTGGATTAACGACAAAGTTACCATTGTCAGATTAAACGAATATCAAAATGCTTGATAGTTGCAGCCCTAGTGCCTTTTTTATGTGAGTGGTGGCCAATAACAAGTTAGAAGTAGAAGTTAGAACTGTTGTATTAGTAACAACACCGTAATGGTTAATTTATGTAAAGCCATTATTCTTAATTCTATCTATAATCAAGAGATAGGATAATTAACTATTTGATTAGGTTTATTTACAACAAAACAGATGAAGTGAAGTGCTCTTATTTTAACTGAACAGAACTACACCAGCATGGATGTCTAGACTTCCTGTTAACCTCTAGCCACACTGTAGGCAAAACGGCTGGCCAGACTGGCTGCATACCGCAGACCCAGTCGAGTTTCAGAACAAAGCGCTGAGCATGACCTACATTACCATGTGAATGACTCTGGATATAGCGGCAGCTAGGATTCTGTGAGGACTGATTGTTTACAAGTAAGCTTCAATCCAAGATTAAACAGCTAAAATCTCTCAAAAAAGTTCCCACTACAGCAGAAACACGTGGCCAAGAAAATAGAACTTGCACTGTGGAACAAAAACAGTAGAGAAACCAGCTGTCCTTAAATTGGTTCAAACATAGACTGCAAAATTTTTTTTTTAAATCAATACATTGAATCATGCATTTAGGAGAACTATGAGTTCCATTACAACTCTAATCATTTACATTCCCAACAAGAAGATATTCATATACAAACGAGACAAAAACTGGCTTCAAAGTAATTCCACATGCAGGAGTTCCAACATAAACGTGCCCAACACCTGATTTCAGGCCTCCCAACTCACACTTGTCACATGAAAGGGCCCCTCAGGCCAACCCATCCAGCGGGTCACCTGATCTGACCCTGAAAATAAAGGGCAAGTTTCCATAACCCCATAAATTCTCATCAATAATTCATTCTGCTTACATTACTGTCACTTTATTTTGAAGAATGCAACTAGTTGATTCAGCGACATATGGCATTTGCAGCGCACGTGAAATTTTCTAAAGAGATGCAGCAGCAAATCTATAAACTTAGTCAAGTACACAACTTTACAGTGTTATTCTTCTGTGGTGTCTGCATTTCTAGAGCTCATTGTAACCCTGAACTTGAGACTAAATTTTCAGATATAACAATTCATGAAATAAGCACATCAACTTGCATCACACTTAGATTTGAGTTTGAAGCCTTTAATATGGACCTGATGGATCTGTCCAGATGCTTTATAATAATAATAATTCATTACATTTACATAGCGCTTTTTCTCGGCACTCAACGCGCTTTACATCTCCTCAACCACCACCAGAATAGTAGCCTAAGCTTTAGTAAGTTGCTTATTTTATTAATAAGATGCCAAATTTATGACATATCTTGTTAATTGTATTTAAATTCTCCAATAAAAAAAAATTACAACAACAGAAGCTTTTGTAAATGACATAGCATTATTAAAGCAATAACTGGCTTTGCAATCAATCAATACAAATAATAATTATTTTACCTCCGAAGCATTAATATCAAAACACCAAATGTCACCAGAGTGCATAACAAAATCAATTTCACAGTATGTTGAGTAAAGCACTTTAAAATAAACCCCATGAGCGTTCATCATGTGGATTATATTCATATACCATGGTTTAAATCAAAGTACAATAGTACCACCTGATTCCATAGCTATACCATAGTACTGCCACACAAGTTTTTAAGATATAGCATACATTATGGTAATAATTCTACCACAGCACTTTTTTGTAAGAGACATCATAAACATATTGTAGTGCTAAGAAGATGCTTGTGGTATTACCAAAGTGCATGTCTGAATAGCATGGCATGGTGTACCACAAACAACCTGACAGATCCTATTAAGGTATTATTTTTTTAATAAATAATCTTAAAACAACATCACATTTACTTTATTCTAAAATGAAAAAGAAAGACAAAACGCTTTAAATCATCCTTGATGGCACACAAGCAGCTTTGCCCACATTTCTAACACAAACAGATGAAATCCAAAGCCCTCCAGCAACATACACATCATAATCACAAATGCATCTAAACAACTAAATATGATTATTTATGCATATCAGTTAGGCCTCATTGCGACCTTGGCCTTGAAGCCAGCAACACACCCAAACCCCCCCCCCCCCCCCCACACACACACACACACACACACACACACACACAAATCGTGAATCTGACAGTTTGCCAACCACAAACGTGATTCTTCTTGCACTATATTCATATTTGATTACATGTGAAGTACATCACCGAATATGTCCTAATAATAAACACGTCTGCCATGTGAATCAGACGGCTAACAGACGCGTGTAGCTAAAAAGGCACCGTCATGCAAGAAAAAAACACAACATGCATTGATTTACCTCACTTAAAAACGTCTTATAATAATCCATGTATTGCATTTAAACAGCCAGGGACTGAAACCATAAACAGTTTTTAACTAATGTAAGACAGGTCTGTTTTTAATGGTGGTACGTTAGTGGTTAGCACGCGAGCTCGTGTTAGCTTCGGTTGTTTTTATTGATTATTTCAGGATCACGAGAGGAAAAACATAAGCGATCGGACCGCGATGTGTTTGTAGATTGAGGCGCGTGCTCACCGATGGTGAATTGTTTTATTGGTCGTGTTGTGTTGAAGAATGTCTTGTTAAACGGTGCGGCGCCCCTCTCTCCCCATTCCCTCCTGCTGCTGCTGTTGTCAAGGCTTCTGGCACGCGAGTGAAGTCTGCCACTACGAGGAAAGCGGGAAGTGTGAGAACAGCTACTATGAACACAATTATTCCAAAGCCATGAGGATTCTTTAAAATAAAAGTCTCCACCTTTCTCTGACAGAAACCAAAGCCCGTCTACGGACATTCTCTGCAGAAACTAAACTTGTGTTGCTTTAACTAACTACGGGCTGGGGACCATTTGAGAAACAGAAGGACACGTTTCATACTCACACTAGTCTATTAATGTCATAAACAATTACACGACAGCATAATGTGTTGTGCAACTAAATATTTGTGTTGTGTTTAATAAAAAAAAAAAAAAAATCTGCTAACATTAATTTGTAAACGAATTCAATATTATTTTCATTTTCCTCCGCATTCGGTCCACAAATTATATTTACAAATTTTAATTTCGATCTTTAAGTCTCGTTTGTTTTCTTCACACATTGCGATGAGAATAACCTCACAACTGTGAAAGGTTTTTAGTAATAATTAATCTTTTTTTTTTTTTTTTTTACATATTCACTTAAATTGTTTATTAATGTATTTCCATCTTGAAAGTTCGGGTCTAACATTAAAATCCATACACAAAAAGCATTGAAAAATTCGTAAAAGTAGCAACAACAACAAAATGGTAAAAGACAGTTTTATGTGACCTTCATGTAACAAAAAGAAAAGAAGAAAAAAACCTGGTTCATAAAATTACCCCAAAACAATCACTTACATTTGTATTTCCATAGCTGTGTAAAATATATAAAATAAAGTAAAATCATAGTACAAATGGGAGTACAAATGCGATGTGAAATTAAAAGTTAGCGGCATAACAAAAGGAATCAATTATTCTTAATGTAACTAAAAATAAGTTGTGAATAATAAAATGTTCATACATTTGATGAATAGAAATGACAGAGCAACGATAGACCATGTAGACAGCAGCTAGTAATGTGCTACATAAATATATTTCATCTGTTTCCCTTACTGTCTATGTTTCCTCTGTAGTCCAACTTAAAATGGTACCAAACTGGCAGGCCTGCCAATCTGAGAGCAAAGTTACAATGGTATCTTACTACCATCTGCTGGTAATTTTAGGAACTACAGTCGTTTCAGAAAGACACGTTTGTGACGTATATTTGAATCTGGATCACAGTTCCTGTTTTGTTGTAATGTTTATCAGAGAGAGCTGCACCAAAGCCTGCACTGAAGTGGGAAAAGATTTTAGATCATATATATATATATATATATATATAAATACCGTAAAACACTGACATAAGAGGAAAGACACCATAGTTCCTGTCTTCTGCACTGTCATAAAACACCACATAAAGAAGCAATCGTAATAGACATAATACTAAAATAGGTGTCATTTATAACTGTATCTATATATATATATAACTGTATCAGTGAAAATGAATATTACTTTAGTGTTGATCTGATTAGTCTTATTTAACGTATACGGTTGTATACCGCTCATCATCCAGTACTATTCGAAAACGCTGCACTTTCCCGAGATGCATCCGCTCCAGCTCGCTTCCTTTAGACCAATCAGAAGGATGGTCAGAAAATCCCTTTCTCTGATTGGCTTAAAGCTGCAGATGCGCAATTTTCAAAGTCAGCTAACTAGCAGACCTTGAGACTCGTCAGAGCGGACAGCAAATAAAGTGGTTTCAAATAACCTGCGTTATTGGAGGGATTTAAACGGCTTTACCATCTTACTTGATCTGCTTTTAAAGTATATCAGTTAAACGGTATGTGAATTTTAAAAAAAATTTCTCATTAGCTTGTTGTTTGTGTAATTTATTTTGCTTTGGCGTAATTTAGGCTAACGTTAGACAATGCCAGCATAATGGATCTGATGTTTGTGTTGTGTATATAAGTAATTTGTGTATTTATGTTTTTAAGTGGCGCATATATATAACGTTATATATGTAAGCGACCTTTTAATGTGACTTTTTTTTTTGTTGCTAATTGACTCCTGCTTTTGTTTAAAGGTTAACTTGCATTTAAAGGGCATTTTCTGACCTGGAGCCCAGAAGACGCTCCTTTAACATGGCATCATCACAGATACCAGCAGCCAAAAAAGATGAGAAAGGAAGAAATATACAAGTGGTTGTACGATGCAGGTGAATGTAACTGTTACATGTTTTATATATGCTATTTTTAGCATGCCACACTCACGTGTTTTCCTCTTGCAGTGGTTTTGCATGTTGGTTTTTACACTCCTGGTACAAAACCCTCTTTGTTTATATTATTTATGCTAATTGTGATAACCGTTAGGTGATCCGTGATATTTATTTATTTTTATTTTTATTCTCTCTGAGACAATTCTCTACAAATGTAGAGCTGTGACGTTTTAAATCAATTTATACAATTAATTAATTACAGTGTTTGTTGGCCAAAATAATGGTTTGATCATTTGTGTTATGTTTCACTTGTTTCATTATTGCTGAAATTTGCTAAAAAGCATAATATAAGAGATTTATTTACTTTTCTATGATTTTAACTATCTTTTCTTTATTTGGTTTTGTTATTTATTTTTTATTAATGTTTATGAATTGTAATATCTAAATAAAATTATATGTGTGTGTTTATGAGATGAAAATTAACATCTCAGTTAATATCATTCTCATGTCTGATGTGCAATTCACAGGCCCTTCAACACAGTGGAGCGTAAATCTGCCTCTCATACCGTTGTTGAATGTGACCAGAACAAAAAAGAGTTGACGGTCCGTACTGGAGGTGCCACGGACAAAGCCGCAAGAAAAACATACACTTTTGACATGGTTCGTTTTTGGCTTGTTTTCCACCCACATCCTGAGTCTTACTAATGTCCAAATCTTTTCCTGTGCAGTAATGCTCATTAAATGTCTGGTTTACTAGGTTTTTGGTCCTTCTGCCAAACAAATTGACGTTTATAGAAGTGTGGTTTGCCCCATATTAGATGAAGTTATTATGGGCTACAATTGTACTATATTTGCGTGAGTATCTCTCTTTAAATATAATATCATTCAACTTTACTGATGGCTTTACCTGTTACGTTTCTAAATTTATGTAAAGGGTTTTTCATCAAATGTTTTTAAATTATGAATTATGAATTTCGCCATGAAAAAGTCAAAGAAGCTGGCATGGCATTAAAAAACACAATCTTTTGTATTTATATTGTTTAATTTCTGTTTGCTAAAAGATATGGACAAACTGGAACAGGGAAAACCTTCACAATGGAGGGTGACAGATCGCCCAATGAGGAGTTTACTTGGGAAGAGGTAACATTTGAGTTACATTTTGGCAGTTCTGCAGTATAAAGTGTATCCAATGGCTGTTTAGAATAATACGTTCATTTAGTGTTTTATTTCTTTCCTAAAGGCTACTAATGTTAATAAAGGTTTCTTACCCCAGCAACTATTTAAATTTAGTTTAATGGAACTCTTTCTAGCCTTGTTCTGACTTAGTTTTGCTACTGTGCCTTTATGACTTAGATGTAGATGATATCTGTTATGCTCTTTGCACATTAAATAAATAATAATGCTTTCTTATTGAGATTTTGCTGTTGGGCCACAGTATCAGTACCCATATTTATTTCCTTGATATGATCTGCTCAGGGACTCATTAGGTTTTTTTATCCCCTCTTCCTTTACTTTCACCTTCTCTCTCACAGGACCCTTTGGCTGGAATTATTCCCAGAACTCTTCATCAGATCTTTGAGAAACTGTCCAATAACGGCACAGAATTCTCAGTGAAGGTATCTCTGCTGGAAATCTATAATGAAGAACTGTTTGACCTGCTCAGTCCTGCTCCTGATGTCACAGAGAGACTACAACTGTTTGATGATCCCAGAAATAAAGTATGCTTCTAATGTATTACACCTCCCTATAATATCCACACATATATATATATATATATATATATATATATCATATGAAAATATTCACTAAAATCTGACATTCTGTGTTTCTGTCAGAGGGGTGTGACCATTAAAGGTCTGGAGGAAATCACTGTGCACAATAAGAATGAGGTGTATCAGATCCTGGAGAGAGGAGCAGCCAAGAGAAAGACGGCCTCCACCCTAATGAATGCTTACTCTAGGTAATAACTGGATTCTTAAATCTCAATTTAAGAGACAAAAAAAATTGTACGCCAGTGCTAAGTTGTTCATTGTTTATAATGCCCCTCTTCGACTTTTATTCCACCAGTCGATCCCACTCCGTGTTCTCTGTGACTATTCACATGAAAGAGATCACACTGGATGGAGAGGAGCTGGTTAAGATCGGAAAACTGAACTTGGTGAGTCTACTTCTGGCTCAATAGTGGGAGTTCACCAGTGTTAAAGTATTTTTAAACTGACAATTCGTCTGTCACACTGTTCAGGTGGATCTTGCGGGCAGTGAGAACATCGGGCGATCTGGTGCTGTTGATAAACGTGCGCGTGAAGCCGGCAACATAAACCAGTCTCTGCTGACTCTGGGTCGTGTAATCAAGGCTCTAGTGGAGAGAGGCCCTCATGTGCCTTACAGGGAGTCAAAACTCACCCGCATACTGCAGGACTCGCTGGGTGGACGGACCAAAACCTCCATTATCGCCACTGTCTCTCCTGCCTCCATCAATCTGGAGGTATGACTTGTGCTGGTTGGCTTTGTACTGTTTCTTTGTTTTTCTGCACTATCTGGAATGTTGACTTATATGTTGATTTTTATGTTATTTTAGGAAACTCTGAGCACTCTGGATTATGCTAACAGGGCCAAGAGTATCATGAATAAGCCAGAGGTCAACCAGAAACTCACCAAGAGAACTCTGATAAAGGCAAGTTTCTTTACTGATGTTCATTTTCTTAAAGGTGCAAAACGCAAGTCTCTGAGTTTTTGCAGAACTACGCCCCCTCTGGCGACAAGCGAAACTGCAACCAGAGTTGTGCACGCTCATGGACCACACGCATCTTTTATTGGATATGTTTTATGTTTCATGTTGTACTATTCTTCCGAACACAATTCCTAGTTTATGAAACTGTTCACTAACAATGGTAGTAAAACCAACCTGATTGTACATGTATCTAGCTTACGCTAAAGCATTACACATTTTACGCATCGTCATTTGTTGTCATACATAGATTGGCCGTATCAAACATTAGAGACTGGGCTATATCTTACCGTTTTATCAAGAAAAATGCCAACTGAGGATCCCGTTTGAGACCAAGAGCAGACCGGAGAGCTCTCCATTTGTTGAATGCCTTCCCGAGGTTGACTCTCGTCTTACTCCGACGCCTGTCTGACTCCAATTTGGACCTTTTGGTGGCACTAGACACAATTTTTTGTCCGGTCTCTTTGAATCCATCTTCTACCTTTGACGCACGAGTTGTCTTCGCTGATGCTAAGAATGGCGGCGCCGGCGAATACACAAACCTGCAAAACATAGCCTGGTGAGCGTGAACGCGCATGACGTCACGCCCAGTCTCAAATTCTAGCCCGAATCCCTCTTATATATTTTACTGTACAAGATTATAGAGGCATTCTCAGTGCGCAGAGAAGGGCTCATTCAGCCCATCAGGCAGTTCTTTAAGCAGGTATAGGATAGAAAAACAGGTATTTTTAACATGAAAAGTTGCACAATGCACCTTTAAGACTAACCAAATTTTTTTCATGTTCATGCGCATCAGCATTGACAAATTTGTGTTTCTAAAATAAATGTTGCAGGAATACACCGAGGAGATTGAGCGACTGAAAAGAGATCTGGCTGCCACCCGTGACAAACATGGAGTGTATCTCTCTCTTGATAACTATGAGTAAGTTCTGTGTACTTGCTACTACCTTTCTAAAGTTTGCAGTCAGTTAGATTTTTATTTATTTTTTTAAGAAATTAATTTTATACAGAGCTAGGACGCATTAAATTGCCAAAGTGATGTTTACAATGATACAAAATTTCGATTATTAAAAAAAAGTTTATTTTCATCAAAGAATACTGAAATGTTATCACTGCTTCTACAAAATGTTTGCAGCACAGCTGTTGTTAATAAGAGATGTTTCTTGAGCACCAAGTCTAGATATCAGAATGATTTATATTAGTTTTACTGTATTTATCAAGTAAATGCAGCCTTGGTAAACATTAGACTTCTTTTAAAATAATTAAATTCTTACCAGCCCCAAACTTTTGAAAGGGTAGTTTGATCATTGGTCCTTGGATAATGCGGCTTATACTAAGTACTACACTTTGGCACGTGACTTGCATACGTACTGAACATGTATATGTGTAACTAAATAATGTACATGACATACTGTATAGCTAAATATGTTCATGTTTCAGGAATTAAGACTTATTTTTATATTATTGGTTGAAGCAGATAATTAAGGAGCAGACTATATTTAATGCTTTATTTGCCCTTTTGCAGGAATATAAACAGTAAACTGTTGTCTCAGGAAGAGCAGATTACCGAGTACAACGATCGGATCGCTGCTATGGAGGAGGAGCTCAAGAAGGTGAGCATCTTTCAAATCCATTCTACTTCTGCTTTTCTATGTATACAAGACCTACCCAACTTCCACTTTTGAGTGTGAGTGATGTGTCTGACGAATTTTGTCTTGGCAGATTATAGACTTGTTCACAGACAGTAAGCAAAAACTGGACCAGTGCACTGAGGACCTGCAGGACAAGAGCCAGAAACTGGAGGAGGCTCACAAGGACCTAACGGAGACCAGGCACCGCCTCACTCAGGAGGAGTTCATTGCTTTACAGCTCCAGAGTAATGAGGGTCAACTATACAGCACTGCTGACCAGGTCTGTGATGGTAGAAGGAATCGGATGGTGTGTGTGTCATTCGATGATGCACTGATAATAAATGCATACATGCACACTCCTAACTGAGTCTCTCTCATCCAGCTGTTGAGCACTGCTAAGGCCAGCACGCAGGACGTTAGCGGTCTCCACGCTAAGCTGGAGAGGAAGAAGGAGGTGGAGCATCATAACGGGGAGGTCCAGGAGAGCTTCGCCCAACGCATGGAGAACTGCTACAACAGCATGCAGACCTCGCTGCAGGAGCAGAGCCACAAACATGCTGTAATGATTGATTATTACCGCTCTTCTGTGGGTAAGATATATCACATGGATGCACTCTTCATGTAATAACCCTGTTTTTGGATGTTTCAAATCACTTCCAGCAAGTGAGTCCTTCCAGGAAACTGATCTAATTAATGCCTGTTTAAATGTCTCTGTGTAGGTGAGCTGCTGAATACAAACAGCAAAGTGTTTAAGGAGACATTAGGTGCTGTCTGTGAGTCTTACAGCAGTATTAAAGAAGCTGTTGGAGAAGGTGTAGAGCGGTGCAAGGAACGAGTGTTACATCAGGAGAAACTCTCTCTGGAGGCTCAGAACAGCATGCTGGAAATACTGGTAAGAACTCAATCAGTCCAAATGTTTAGGATTATACACGCTTTTTTTTTTTTTTATACCAAGGCTGAATTCTTGATTTTTGTCCATAAAAATATTCAACCCTTTTTTTTTTCTTTACATTTGTTTTAATCTATGGGCACTCCTAGTTACTATACTAAAGTTATTATAATTAAAATAACTGAATTTGAGCTGCATGCTCTGTTTTTAAATAAACCAATACATTTACATTGGATATGGATTTTTTTATAAATAAATAAAAATACACTTTCAATCTGATGAAAGTTTTGAGCTTGACATAACTGGTAAAATATAATTCATAAAATTGCCCATGAAGTTTTATTAATTACAATGACTTTTCCAGGCCTACGCTATAAGTCACTTTTAAAATTGTTGCCTCCATATCCAGGTTTTCCAAGACTGTGATTTTTGGGATTACGATCAATATTAAACATTTTAATTGTGCATGCCCATTTTTCCCAATTTATCCCTTTACCTTTGCCATCATCTTTAAAAACACTTTCAATTTTACTCTATTAAATGCATCTTATGCATATCCTTTTCATACTGTGTACTTTACGATGTTGTGATGCCTGAATGCACTTTTTTATTTAATTTTTTTAGGCATTATATTTATTACCATTCATTGATTTTTTTTATTTATTTATTTTTTATTTTTTTTTAGGATGAACACAAACAGCATCTAGAGGAGGTTCTGGTCGCCCAGGCGGTGCCAGGAATCAGGTCTGTCATGGCCACGAATGACAGTCTGAAGCAAACCCTTCACAGATACTACACTCTAAATGAGCAGGTATGTGTGAGAATGATGACTTGACCTGTTGTTATGCCAGTTTACTGCTTATTTGAGATTTGTAATAAGCCATGGTAAAAATCTATCTTACAGATGCGGGGTCTGAAAGCAGAGATGATGTCATTTTTTGACTCTTACACTGAATCGTTGGCCAGTATGCGAGAGTGCGCTGTGCAGGGCTTTAGCACTCTGCGTGCTGAACATGACAAGCTCAAGCAACAGATCAGCCAAGCTGGAAACAGCCATCAGGCGGTAGGTCTATAACCCCTGGACAGTTTCTTGAAGAGGAGGATTGACTTTAATCCAAGCAATCACATTTCTGTTAAATTGATTGGCTCAGATGGTCACAAGCTTTATGGGTATGAATGTAACCAATTAAAAAATGTTCTCCTGTAAAGTTCTGTGACAGAACTTTTGTCTAAATCTTTTGACCACTGGTTCTTAAACTGCTTCAATTGTTCCTTTTTACAGCGTGTGGCCGAGCTGGTTCAGTGTTTGCAGAACCAAATGAATCTCTTGGTGGTGGACACTCAGACTGATTTTGAGGGTCTTTCACAGGCAGCATCTGCCCAGATTGTTTCACTAGAAACACTAGAGAGCTCCATACAGAGGTGAGAGTATATTCACTACATATAACTTCAAGTTTCCTGTAACAAAACCCTAATAAATTGTTTTTATTATAGTAAATGTACTGCAACTGAGGAGCACACTGTGTCTGCCCGTGCTCGACTGGGGTCTTCTGTGGACGGAGTGATAACAGAGATGAATGGAGTGACGGAAGAGGGAGAGAGAGCGCTGGAGGAGTGTGCCGGATACTGCAGACTGCTACAGACGTCGCTTGACTCGCTGGCTGAGTCAGGACTCGCGTGGTGTCACGAAGCCAGAAACGCAACCGAGAATAAAGCCCAAGAACAGCTTACACTCATCAGGGAGACAGACATGGCTGTGCAAGACTTGCTAAAGGTTAGTTTGGTCCTATCTCATTGCCCACAGTCTTTTGCACTTGACCATTTGTCTACTTCCATGATGCATTTCTGGTGTTTGAGACTATCCCTTATTTTGTGTGTGCATGCAGTCTGTAGAGGAAAAGGGGAAGAAAGCTGTTCAGGACTGTGAAGCCCGTTTGACTCCCATGCAGCAGGAAGTGGAAGGAATTCTGGGTCGTGTGGAATTGCAGACCGGTAAAGATGATGCTACCATGCAGGAGCACAAAGAGACCCTCTCCTCCATCAGCACTCTGGCTCTGGACACTGTACACAACTTCATCAGCTCAGAGCTACGGCAAGATTTACCAACAGGTATGAGAGAAGCTGTGATAGCATTTTGGGTATAGCCACTGCTCAAGTAATCGGTCCAAGTGTACAGGGCAATAATGTGACGTGTGTGTATCTTTACAGGAACGACCCCTCAGCGTAGGGAATACGCGTACCCACGTGTGCTGAACAAGCCGAGGAGTCGAGAGGAGCTGGCAGAGGAGTTCAGAGCTCAGCAGGAAGAGCTGAACCAGTGTGAAACTGTCATAGAGGCAGAAGAGGATAAACCTCTCGACCAGGTAGTCCATCCATATTCTTTATATTACAGGAGGAGTTTGAATCAGTGGAAACGCTATCAGTGGAAATGCTATCAGTGTTTGCGATTTTTAAAATATATTAAGATTTATTTGAAGGTGCTGTAGATACCATTTTGTTGGACTGGTGTAACCTCAATTCTGTTTTTAGGATTCTCTGGAGGATGAAGTCAGTGTTTCTAGTGATGGAAACATCACTGAACAGTCGTGCTCTGATGAGAACCTGACGTGTTTTGAGAACGGAAGGGTTCCCTTCTTCAAGGTGAGACATTTTGCACCCATTTAATGTTATACATAAGCTTAAAGGGTTAGTTCACCCAAAAATGAAAATTCTGTCAGTAATTACTCACCCTCATGTTGTTCCAACCCCGTAAGACTTTCGTTCATCTTCGGAACACAAATTAAGATATTTTTGATTAAATCTGAGAGCTGGATCACTCCTCCATAGGCTTCTTAAGGGATCGAAACTGGCCGGCCCAAAAGTTATGAAAGACATCGTTAAAATAGTCCGAGTGACTACAGTGGCTCAATCTTAAGTTTATCAAGCGACGAGAATACTTTTTGTGCGCAAAAAACAAACAAAAATAACGACTTTATTCAACTACTCATTTCCTTCCCTGTGGGCCTTGAGATTTCACGTAGTGATATTGCACAAAGCTTCTGTGTTGCACGTTACACCCAGGCTCACTATTGGCCGACGCTGGTCATGTGTGTGATGCGTGTGACGTACAACCTAGAAGCTTTGCGCAGTTCCACTACGTGAAATATCACGGCCCACAGGGAAGGAAATGAGTAGTTGAATAAAGTCGTTATTTTTGTTTGTTTTTTGCGCACAAAAAGTATTCTCGTCGCTTGATAAACTTAAGATTGAGCCACTGTAGTCACTCGGACTATTTTAACGATGTCTTTCATAACTTTTGGGCCGGCCAGTTTCGATCCCTTAAGAAGCCTATGGAGGAGTGATCCAGCTCTCAGATTTAATAAAAAATATCTTAATTTGTGTTCCGAAGATGAACGAAAGTCTTACGGGGTTGGAACAACATGAGGGTGAGTAATTACTGACAGAATTTTCATTTTTGGGTGAACTAACCCTTTAAGGTGCGGTCACATTAGCAAAATTTCACGTGCAAAAAAGGTCTATTGTCAAGTGTAATGATGTATGAAGTACTGCTCACACAAGTTAATTTCAAACCAAGCAGCTTTCTGTTGATCAATGCAGCGAATTTGTGAAAAACTTGAAATCTGTGTGGCGAAGTATTTCGCCTTCGTGCAATTGCCTGGATTTCTATTGAAATGACTGGATTTTGCCGTGAACATTTTCCAAACAATGTTAAATCTGATCACGCCTTGACTGTTGGCAAATAATTATCAAACTCGTTGGTTGTAGATGCAGATTGACAATATTTTGTTTTTTGTCTAACTAGAAGAAAAACAAGAAGGAAAACGGCAATAAATCCTTGAACCGTTCAAAGGTGGAGAATGAGTGTATGATTACGCCGCCACGTTCTAAACTACCACTCAGGTGTCAGAATTAAACTAAATTGTTGCAGTTATACTCTCTCCTTGGATGTCTTAAAGTGCATAATTTTAAACTTCCGTGTACGTCTTTTTAAACATGTTTTGTCTATGTACTTGCTTTTTCATGTCTGTTTCCTCAGTCACAGTTTAATATTAAAAGTTATAACTTCTGGGTGATTTCTTACTGTTAATTTTTCCTGTTAGTTTCACTAGAGTTTAGAGCTTGCTTTTTTGTGGTTTGTTTTTGTTGAACATTTGTATGTTTAATTAAAAGCTAAAATAAAAAAATGATCACTCCATATTTGAACCAATAAAACATATTTTAAAATATGGTTCTATTTTGAAATGTTTGTATAAAGTTTATTCTTTCTATTAAATTGTTTGTTGAATGTAATATTGGTTGGCTTTGTTGATTGTTTTTCCACAATTTAAGGATTTATTTATTTTTATTACAAGAATGAAAATGTTTGCTTTAGGAGGTTTGAATTAGTTTAATTAATAAAGAAATTTAAATGTAAGAATTGCTCTAACCTTATTTAATGAAACTTTCCATATTGAGTAAGATGTGTGCATCGTTCAAATATTTGAAAATAGGGTGTTTAGGAAAACCAAATATATACTATATTGGTTATTTTATTATTAACTGTTACAATTTTGTGCATGATTCTAATTGTCTCAATTCAAGTGCACAAATGAGCGTTTCATATTTGGTTAATTTCCTTACACCTGCTAAAATAGTCTACTTCAGCAGTAATGACATTGATCGTTTTTTATAAAAGAGTGTTGCAGCCGAGTGTTTTCCTCGAGATTTTTCTGTGGGTTTTTCAATTTATTAGTAAAATAAGGTGTCTGTGAAACTTAAGTTGACGATACTTGGTCGTTTTGTTCAACAACGTAAATTACACGCCCATATCGAAAACGCGAATTTAGAAGCTGTTATGTACTTATGTTTAATAATATTAAAACGTAACTAGATATGAACTGTTATTTACGTTGGAGAACACAACGTCAGAGTATCGTCAATTTACCAGAGGCCTTCTTTTTTTTTTTTTTACTCCTAAATTGAAAAACCCGTATAACAATCTCGAGAACCGCTGGCGAATCAGTCCGGGTTTGACATCACGGCTACAGTACTATTGAATAGAAAATAAAGTTTGTCTATTAAAATGAAAAATAACGTGGAAGGTCCGTTTCAATTTCAGTTTCCAATAGTCCAATCAGAACCGCTGTCTAAAGCACGTGTTTTTATGCCGAAGTCTCGTGCAATCAGAATCACTCTATGTACCACGTGGTTTCATTCCACGTCTACGAAGGGAAACCAGATTACAGCGGAGCATCTGAAACCTCAGTTGTTATCAGATCCATTATTGAAAATGTAAAAATATACTCGATGGCATGCAGTCGGATAATTTGACCCTGGGATGGATTTAGAGGAGGCTTTCCAGGTGGTTGGAGAATTCGGTAGGCACCAGAAACGGATGATCACCATCCTGGTTTTCCTACAGGTAACTAACGTTAATGAAACATGGAAATCCGTAAACACTGGACTAACATTTTTGTTTAGGTAACTTACATTTTATATTTCTGGTAACACAAGCCGGTAATTATGCAAAACTTATATTTGAGGGTTCAAACCTTTAAAGCCTTGTCATATTTGCATTATCTTATCTTCTTGCAGTAGGATGTATTTGCTTTAATTTGACCTAGTTTCAGTCAGGCATAGGCTATGCTTGCTTATATGTCATTAGTATTGGGTTTTCCATTTAAGGCCCTGGAGTCATTACTGGGCAACAAAACCGAACATTTTTATGTCAAGTAATACTTTGAATTAATATTCAGAATCTCCTGGTTCCAAATGTATGTTTTCCCTACCTATTGCTCAATATGAGTCAAATAGGCTTTCACAAATTTAGCATTCATTATAATGAAGATGGCAGAATGTTTCTTAATGGAACGTACTTTAATATTAAGGATAATATAAAAAACTCTGTCCCATAAAATTTGAGTGATGAAGCTGACATATCATGTTTGTGACACTGACAGTACATATAAGCACAATTATTTAAAGATTATTAATTACATGAGCATAGAGCATGTGTTTGCAGAAAATGACAACTGGTCAAAATAACACAAAAAAAAAGATGCCATGTTTTCAGATCTTGAATGATGTAAAGAAAACAAGCTTATATTCGTTAAAAAAAAACATGACACTAATGTTTAAACTTAGGAAGAGTTTAGAAATCAATATTTGGTGGAATAACCCTGATTTCCAAATACCGCTTTCATGCATCTTGGCAATGGCTTGCTCTCCACCACACCAGTCTTTCACATTGCTGTTGGGTGACTTTATAATAATAATAATAATTCATCACATTTATATAGCGCTTTTCTGGACACTCAAAGCGCTTCACATAGAAGGGGGAATCTCCTCAACCACCACCAATGTGCAGCATCCAAGGGGGTAATCCATCGACTGGAAGTTGAAGCCGGCCGGGTGCCGCCATGTTGTAGCAGAACTTCACTTGCGTTTGCATTTCCATTGACTCCCATTCATTTTGGCGTCACTTTGACAGCGAATAACTTTACATCTGAGGCGTTTAAAGACTCCATTTGTCCATTATTTATTTCTAAAGAAACACGACAATGTATAAAGGGCTCCATTACCTTCTATGTTACATTATGGCCCCGTAGAAACAGATTTAGTAAAAATAGGCTAACGATTGCGTCATAACCACTCGACTCTCTGTCGTGCTGTACAGAAATTACCGTACAGACAGGAGGAGAAGCTCGCAGGCAATCGGGGGGACGCCCCCGTCAAGGGAGAAGCCCATAGATAATGAGTCCATAAAAGCAACGGAATACTTACTACTGCTCACTCACGCCAAAGAACTCTTTGCTCAAGTTCCCCGTCTCTGCAAGATTAACTTTGGCAATTTTCACGCACAGCTACTAGAAGACTAACGTCTGTCAGACAGGTTGCTCACGTCATCAAGCTTAGTTTGAGTCGGTTTGAGTCTGCGCGTCAGGAACGGAAGTGCTCAAAAATCGCTAAAAATGGGCTTCAACTGTCTCAACTGAGTTCCAATGAGATGGCTCTGTCCACTTCTTATACTGTCTATGGCAGCATCCACCTGGATGATGCGACGGCAGCCATATTGCGCCAGAACGCCCACCACACACCAGCTTACTGGTGGAGAGGAGACATAGTGATGAAGCCAATTGGTATATATATATGGGGATGATTAGGAGGCCATGATGGACAGAGGCCACTGGGCAAATTTGGCCAGGATGCCGGGGTTACACCCCTACTCTTTCGAAAGACATCCTGGGATTTGTTGTGACCACAGAGAGTCAGGGCCTCGGTTTAACATCTCATCCGAAGGACGGTGCTCAATTGACAGTATAGTGTCCCCATTACTATACTGGGGCATTAGGACCCACACAGACTACAGGGTGAGCACCCCCTGCTGGCCTCACTAACACCTCTTCCTGCAGCAACCTGGTTTTCTCAGAAGGTCTCCCATCCAGGTACTAACCAAGCTCAGCCCTGCTTAGCTTTAGTGGGCAACCAGTCTTGGGCTACAGGGTGATATGGCTGCTGGCAAAAAAATTCAAGCATCTCAGCTTTGTTTGATGGCTTGTGACATTCCATCTTCCTCTTGTTCACAGCCCAGAGGTTTTCAGTGGGGTTAAGGGTCTGGATATTGTGATGGCCATGACAGAGTCTTGATCTGGTGGTCCTCCGTCCTCAATTTTGATTGGCCTGGCTGTGTGGCATGGAGCATTTTCCTGTTGGAAAAGCCAATCCTTCGATTTGGGGAACTGAGCAGAAGGAAGCATGTTTTCTTCCAGGATAACCTTGTACGTGGCTTGTGTCACACGTCCTTCACAAAGACAGATCTGTCTGATTCTGATCTCCTTTGATGAGTCCAGTTTTCAGCTTTGCCCAACACCTGGTTCTATAATGTTTAGACAGAACTGGAGAGGCCTACAACCCACAGTCTCTCAAATTACACCCATTGTGTAATTTGTTGGATGATTAGTGATGATCTGGTGGTTCTTCAATAAAGCTAGAATCGGGGAAGATACATCTTGCATGCATAACTCAAGCCACGTATAAGATTATCCTGAAAGAAAAATTGCTTCTTTCTGAACATTCTAGTGATTATCACTAACATATCAGAGTTTATATTTGCACGGATCTGAGATCAGTGCGAATATTGTTCATTTACTGGAAGGGAACTGGGCCTAGATCAATGAAAGTTAAGTAACCTGAAATATTTGTCTTTTTTTAAACAGATTTACATGGCATGTCAGTCCATGCTCATAATTTTAGTGGGTGCTGTTCCAGAATATCATGTAGAACCTTTTACTGAAGGCGTGGATGGTGATGTAACTCAACACAGTGTGAAGTTCACTGAGGATGTCAGCTCAATCGTGACTGAGGTAAGAGACTGTCATCAGTGTTGTGCATCAAACAAACTTGGCTTAAGCTTGCTCAGTCTTTCAAATACAAATCTATACTGTATATATAAATTAGGAAGAACTGTGTTTATATTATAATCTTTGTGTCTGGACAGGACAGCAGATGAATGAATGCATATTCAAACTATTTGATATTTATTTTGATCTTCTCTTGCAGTGGTACCTAATTAAACATCAAGCCTACAAAGTGAACTTGGCTGGGTCCCTGTTCTTTGCTGGTGTGCTGATCGGAAATGTCCTGTTTGGACCACTCTCTGATAAGATTGGAAGGAAGCCGGTATTTTTAACTGGTAGGATTTAGATTAACTGGTTTCTGTTCTTTACTAAACTATAATTACAGTTTCATATTGTTACAGTGCTTTCAAGGCCTCAAACATTCCAGGTTACGGGTTTTCTAACCTTTAACCGCAAGTACTAAACATCTGCAGTCTGTTTAAACTTTTTCTTGTAGATAATGTCAGCCTTAAAGGTATAGTTCGCCCAAAAAGGAAAATTAGCCCATGATTTACTCACCCTGAAGCCATCCTAGGTGTAGACATTCTTCTTTCAGACGAATACAATCGAGTTATATAAAAAAATGCCCTGGCTCTTCTAAGCTTTATAATGGCAGTGAATGGATGTATATTTTTTGAAGTCCATCAAAGTGTATCCATCCATGATAAAAGTGCTCCACACGGCTCTGGGGGTTAATAAAGGCCTTCTGAACCGAAGCGATGCGTTTGTGTAAGAAAAATATCCATATTTAAAACTTTATCGACTAAAATAATATATGTTGTTTATATGTTGATGTTCTTAATATGTTATACATGTGTGTTTGTATTATGTACACATCTATGGTGTAAACAAATTTCCTCTCGAGGACAAATAAATCATCATCATCATCATAACTAGCTTCCGGCAGGTGGCCTACGCAAGTCGTCTTACGCCAAAAAAGTAACACTTGACAATGTATGACGTAGGATGTAGGAGTAGTGTAAGCTTTGACTCCTCTCGCGGTTCAAACAAACAGGGCTGGGCAACAAACTCAAGCTCCTCCGACATTTCTCTTTAAAAATTGTCGTTTTAGACTTCTAATTGGTGACTGGTGTTTTGTTTTGCTCTATCCTCTGCACTTCCGCGTTCGCCAATGCGTCAAGGGTTACTCTTTCGCTGTTAATCGATGCGTACGGCCGTCTGCCGGAAGCTAGTTATTTTAGTCGATAAAGTTTTAAATATGGATATTTTTCTTACACGAAGCTTCGCTTCAGAAGGCCTTGATTAACCCCGCAGAGCCGTGTGGAGGACTTTGATCATGAATGGATGCACTTTGATGGACTTGAAAAAAAATACATCCATTCACTTCCAATATAAAGCTTGGAAGAGCCAGGACATTTTGTTAATATAACTCCTATTGTATTCGTCTGAAAGAAGTATGTCATATACACCTAGGATGGCTTGAGGGTGAGTAAATCATTATGTTTTGTTTCTGATACACAACCGACTGAAAGCCAAGAGCAAAGAAACAAACATAAAACCTAATCATTCTTTAAACAGCAGTTTAATGTGTTGTTATTATTGTGATTTGTTATTAACAGTATTATTACCGTTTTCTCTCTCTCAGGTCTGTTTTTTGAGGTCTTGTTTGGGTACGGCACAGCGTTAGCGCCCAGCTATGAGTTGTTTGCTGTGTCTCGGCTGCTGGTGGGGTTGATGAACGGAGGAATGGCATTGGTCTGCTTTGTTCTCACTCAGGAATATGTGGGAAAGTCCTACTGGGCTATGACAGGTGCACATTAATTAATAATAAAATCACTTTTGTTGTTTACTTTCACAGTAGTCTTATAAAGCTAATTTGATTGTCTTTGATCCAGGGACCTTGACCAATATGACCTTTGCAGTGGGCATCGCTCTGTTTGGCGCCTTAGGTTATTATGTTCGGCCGTGGCGAAACCTAGCAACTGTGGCCAACTGTCCGGGACTTTTGCTCTTCCTGCTCTGTGTGTAAGTAAGCGGTTTAGTCGGATCATTACTTCCTGTTAAACTACAGCACTGGGACTTTATTAAAAGCCACCAGGATGATATTGTCACAAGGGATTTGTTTACAGTGAAAGGGTGCTGTGTAAAGCTGCTTTTGGTGTCGAGAACACTAAGCCTTGGTGAAGATGTACTCTAGACAAAAAAAAAGTTATTTGTGTTCTCTTAAAGTCCCCCTGTAGTCAATAATTTGACCACTTAAAACTCCTCTTTAATCACCAAAATGACATGTTAAAAACAAAATTCAAGGAAAAAAACTTTCTTCATGCCTTAAAATAGCTTGAAAGTAACTACACCCTTGCCTCATTTAGTATATGCAGTTCTATGAATATGCAAATTAATCCCGCCTTCACTTACTCACACCAGCTCAGAGGTTCACTCATTGATGATCACACGTTGATGTGATTGGTTACAAGGTAGTTTATGATATCAGAAACACCGTGTTTTTGAGACTGTCTTTGGTTCACTACTGCAGTTTTAAAGAAAAAATACTCTGCAATGGTGTTGACTTTAAAATTTACACAAATTTTGTCTTAAAGCATATAAAAAAACACCACATAGACATATCACCACCACATAAAAATGTTCACCACACAAGGGGAACTTTAAGGGATATCTCAAGTGCACCTAAACAAATATCTATACAGTGCCATTGAAAAGATTTGAAGGCTTGAAGAAGGCATCATGATTTGGTGTTTAAAAATATTTCTTATTATTATAAATGTTGAATCAGTTATGCTGCTTAATATTTTATTTGAAATGTGTAACAATATTTTCTGGATTTTTTAATGAATAGAAAGTTCAAAGGAACAGCATTTATTTGAAATATAATTTTGAATTACTTTGTATGTCTTTACTTTTGAAATAAATTTGAATGCATCTTTACTGAAAGTATTTATTTCTCTCAAAAAAAATCTTTCTGACCCCAAACTTTTGAATGATAATGTAAATTATCTTTTAAATTTCGTTCGTTAATTTTGTTTGTGGGTTTTTTTTTACTTCTACCCTGTTGCCATAAAATGTCCCTAAAGTAACAACAATAAAACTACATTTAAAATCGAATTTTTAAATATCATATTTTTATATGCAATTTCCTGTCCTTTCACTGATATTGCATGTCAATAAATGTGGCAAAAGAGCAAAAAACTAGCTCAACCACAAGGATAAGTATTAATTCTGTATTATAATTAAAATTCACCACTCAAAAAGGTTCATATCATATGGGAATCTAATCTAAAAATGTCATTATATCTCTTAATCATGTTTTCATGAATGTAAAATGTGAATGTCTACCTAACTTCTGTGATTGTGTTTCCCTGACCATGCCAGGAATTTGCCAGAATCTCCACGCTGGCTTTATTCTCGGGGTCACACAAAGCAGGCCGAGGACATCCTGCAGTATTTTGCTGTGAGGAACGGGAAAGGCAGAATTCTAGTGAAGCTCCGCCGGACCGTCAACGCCAGCACTCCGGACGCAGCCAGCCCTGGGGTTTTCCAGCTGTTCACACATCCCATACTGCGCTGGAGGACTGTGGTGCTCATGTATGTGTGGTGAGTATTTGTATTATTTAACTATATTAACATTTGTGCATTTTTATGTACTCAATCTTTGTGTGTGTATGCATATATTTTGCAGGTATGCCTGTAGCCTTGTGTATTACGGGTTGACCCTCAATGCCAGTGAAGAGAAAGGTAACCGTTACCTTAGTGTTGCCATGTATGGGCTGGTGGAACTCCCTGCTTACCCTCTCTGCATGTACTTCATTAACAAACAGTGGTAAATACACTCTCACGATCACATCAACACGCTGCTGTATCAGACTATTATTATTATTATCTGAGCGTATATTTGTTTTCTTTCAGGGCAGGCAGGAGGAAGTCAATGGCCAATTTTCTCGCCTTTGCAGGTGTATCCTGTCTGCTCACAACGGTTGTACCTGTATCAGGTGATCATCTTTCCGAATAAATTAGGTTTTCACTAGAATCAAATTTCCCATTTTGCAGAGTAAATCTGTCAGCATACAGGAGTTTTTTTTTTTTTTTTTTTACATGATTATAGATAAGAAAAAAATGTAAAGTGGCATCTGCAAACCTAAAACTTATCTATGCAATTATTTTGAAAGTATGCTTTAAAAGTATACTTTTTTAGTGCCAGTATGTAAATATACTGTATGTATATACACATTTATAAATATTCAGCAAAAAAACTGCCCTTTTCCCAGCAAATGTCTGGGAAAAATGTTTAAATATTTGTATGAACATTAAAAGATTCAACAATATTCTCCCTAATTATACATCATGTCAAGCCTGTTTGCTTTTTTTAGGGTCCTTATTAAGTGCCACGTCATTGGCTCTAGTGGGAAAACTGCTGGTCAGTGCTGCATTTAATATTGCGTATGTGTATACGTCAGAGCTCTACCCAACTGTCATCAGGTACTTTACTTGCATGTTTTGACGTAATGTGTTTTTAGCTCTTATACAAGTAGAAATGTGTAATAAAATGTATGTCTTACAGAATAAGAATCTGTGCTTGAGCAAACTGTCCCCTCTAGTGTAGGTAATGTCAGTCATTTATGTCAGTACCACAGTAGACTTTCTCATTGTCCATCATTTTGACCAACAGAATTACCTTTCAATTTAATTTTCAAATTTTATTAATAATAAACTTTTTGTTTTCATTCACATTTTTATTTTTAATCGAGAACTTACAGGATGAGCATACACAGTAGGCCAGATCAGGGGTCCGTGAAAGGGCTCTACGATTTTCGCAATGCAGAAAACGCAGACGGAATCATATCATATGTACACAGAAACTCAAAAGTCTTCATGATAACCCGTTCAAGTAAAGCAATTATAACAGATATATATCACTACAGTAGAATGTACTTCTCACAGCAATAAGTAATAATAATAATGAAAATAACCAAATTATTAACTTTTTTTTTAAGGAATTATCAATTTTTCTTCCATGTTTTAATTTGAACAGTAAACCTGTTGTGCAGCATTTTGTTTGCTAAAAAATAAAAGGAATTGTTACATTTTCATTTGATTACATTTTAAAGGATTACATTTCATTTAAAAAAAAAAATAATTTGCTGTTATTACAAACATAAAAAAAAGTTGTTAAAGTTTTATTAATTAAATTGATTAGACATGCTTCTTGATTATTAAAATTGAATTCAACTATTAAATTGGAAAAAAATAAATAAAACGGATTACATATTGCCCTAAAAATGTTTGTTTTTTTGTTAATCTTTTAATAAATTGTTGATGAATTGTATACGTTGTATTATTTCTTTTTTTTTTTTTTTTCACAAGAGTAACAAGCATATGCTTAATCACTCTTATAATTATGAGAGGGTCCTTAATGAAAAATTATCCCCTGTGAGGGGTAGAATAAATGTATTTATTTATGAATTAACAGAGACTGTGCGCCACTTTTCATGTTCAACACCACACTTAGCACACGAATGTTAATGTGACCTCTGGTCAGTACAAAACAAAAGTACCCCACTGCTGGATTCATTCTAATGTAAGTGTGTTTGTGTGTGTTAGGAATGCAGGGTTGGGTGTGTGTTCCATGTCCTGTAGAGTTGGGGGAATTCTGGCACCGTTTGTGCCGAGTTTGGTAAGTAGCTATAAACTGGCTGACTTGAGAAATGCCAATTTTATAATTTTACAAAAATTAGATTAATTTTTTCCTCAAAGTTTTCTTGTGTAATTAATAATTAGTAATACATGAATATTATACATATAACAAAATGTGTATACAATAAATTTGTATTATTATTATTATATTAATTGCTTATGTACTGATTTGTTTTTTGGGGGGTTCCTTTCAGAAATCCTTGCACGCCTCCATGCCTTTTATGGTGTTCTGTTTGAGTGGGATTTCGGCGGGCTGCCTGGGGCTCCTCCTACCGGAGACACTCAATAAACCTTCTGCCGAAACTCTTGATGAACTGTCCAGCCCCACCTACCAGCGAATCTTAGAGCCGCAGGTAAACATGGGCAGAATTGTAATTTCATAAGACTATTAAAGTGTTTAATAAATTAATTTTCTGGAGTATTTCTTTCTGGTTGGTTGATCGCAGCATTTTGCATCCAAATATGTTTGTGTAGTTTCATGTCTCCTTACGTTTACATCTACCTTTATGCATTTGGCAGACGCTTTTACCTATAGTGACTTACGTTACATTTATTTATATTACATTTATTATTACTGTATAAGAATTAGACCTTTTCTTTATAATGGATTGTCGTGTGTGTTTTTTACAGGTCCACCTTTTGGAAGACAAGCATTTAATTGACCACAACGGAGCTGATAGTGACTGAGACATGGACTTTGGAAACATTTGATCAATTCCTAAGCACAGTCGACCAGTGTCAGAATGTTGTCCCATACAGAAAGACTAAAGGTGCCTTCTAGAAGAAATCTGCTGAAAGGATCAATTCAACTGATGTATCTATCAGGACTGTTTTAAAATAAAAAGGACCAGATACTCTGTCGTAAACTAGTTTCTCATAATGTCTGACAGTTCTGCTAATTTCACGTGTTTACTGCCATTTGTATAACCGATATCTTGATCTATTGTTTAAATCTGTTTTTTGGGGTTTTTTTTATTTTTATTTTTATTTTTTTTATGTGAGATGTGACAACATTCACCAGCGTGTATATGTTAGCATTCAATGAATCAATAATGGTTGCCAACACTTCAAAATAGTGATACTGGATCTCTGTTGGAGGTAAAGATCATTTTAGGCTGTTGTAAAGAAATAGTTCAAGCTAAATTTTGAATTATGTCATTTATATTACTGCCATTGTTTTTGTTCCAAACTTGTATGCTGGTATTTTATCTGTGGAACATGCTATTTTAGGGATTTAAGTTCCTTCAGGTGAGGACATTTTTAAATTGGACCATGAGATTTGAAATTCCATGGGGAATAATCAGTAAATAAATTGATTTATGGAGTTTGTTTTTTCACTGAAAAAAAAAATTAATTTACATTTTTGGGTGAACTATACTTCTAAGAGACTATTATATTTCTCCAAAAGGAGAAGTGAAGTGTTACACATGTATACCGTAGTTGTGTATATTTCAGTACATTGCTAAAAAAAAATGCGTTTGTTTTAATCTTCAGATTTAAGGGAAACGCTTATAAATAAATGCCTGTAATATAATGAGCTTGAACGTACATGTCCGTCTGTCACCAGTAGATGGCACTGTGTTGAAGGCCACTTCCCCTGAACTGAGGTAACCGTTGACCTGTTCCAGGCCTCATGGTGATGATGTCAGCGTTGACGCAGGTGAACAGTGCTCAGGTGAACCACAAGATTCAGGAGCAGGGAGTATTAAAGAAGTCGGCGCACAACTTTCAACCGCAAACCTGTTTTTTTTTTTTCCCCGTCTTCTTTTTCCTTGCTGTAATCGCAGCCTGTGGCGCTGCATGTAGCTGACGGAACAGGTTGAGAGAGAGCAGGCATTAACTATAATAACTGTTTTAATTCTTCCTCCAAGGCCTGACGGGCATTGTATCACCCTGCACAGGGAGATAAACAGCCGGTACAGGGGTGTGGCTTCGTCAGTGCATTGTATATCTTGTGTTCAACTTATAATAAAAACAAACATAATTTGTTATTATTATGTCTCTTTCAGACATAAACCTAATTTTGTTGATTTATTGTAATATTTTGTAAGTTATATGTATATATATATATATATATATATATATATATATATATATATATATATATTCTAACAATATAAATCTTAACTATCACTTTTGATCAATTTAACACATAGGGCCTACTTGCTGAATAAAATAATTAATTTCTTAAAAAAAAAAAAAAAGACTGACCCCAAAATTTTGAATCGTAGTGTATATTGTTAGAAAAAAAAATTTATTTTAAATACTTGCTTTTCTTTTCTTTTCTTTCATCAAAGAATCCTGAAAAAGTATCACAGCTTATAAACAAATATTAGGCAACACAACTGTTTACATTGATAATAAATCAGCATATTATGATTTCTCAAGGAAGATGTTTCCAAACTTGATGCTCAGGGCATGATTAATCAGTAATAATTTAACCAATTTTAATTTTAAAAAAAATTAATAAACCAAAAAAAATAGAATAAAACAAACAACAGGAAATGAAACTACATTTTTAAAAAGCCCTGTTTATTTTACTCATTTACTCTATTTTACTTTATATCCTATCTAACACATCTATGAGCAACCCAAATGCTGTTTCCAGAAAGACTGATTTCCCACAAATCATAATGGACAGTATAAACTTATATGGTACTTTTTCATTAATGTAATGGAAGCAATTAAGCCTGGAATGATGTCACTTTCTCACTTTCAGCACATAATCACATTCAGAAAGCACAACTGTCACACACGTGGTACAGAAAAAGTACCTCAGGTTCAATATCAGGTCAGTATCATTGACTGTGTTCGTATGTGGGTGTGGAAAGAAAGTGTTCGAAAGGTGATTCATCAGGTATGAAGCCTTAGGAGGAAGCCCGATTTCTGGAAAATCATAGAACAATATGACCTGAGACTGAACTCGCAGGATTGTTGCTTCAGGCCATACTGTACTGGTTCTGTCTGTATAAAGAAGCAAAAGAACCTGTGAAAATAATGCCTTCAGAATAAAGAATAAAAAAAATTATATTATTTTTAATAGAAGCAATCAAAAATTGCCTTTTATTAGTATGCTAAATGTAAAATAGCATACTAATAAAATGATTTTTTTTTTTTATTGTAATATGTATTTCATGACCATGACAAAACAGTTTATAAAGTGAAGTAAATATAAATTAAGTTACAACAATATCAGAAAATAATCTAAATGATTTAGGCTGCTTTGGCAAGCAGGGTGAGGCCTAGAGCCGTTGGGAAGCTCCGGAAGGACAAGAGGAGTGACGACAGTGCAAGACAAAAGAGGAACAGGCCTGGGACAATTATTTTGATGTTTTTGCAATCCACTTTAATATGCCCTTCCCTCGCTAACTTCCCTCTGTCTTTTTCACTCAGATGTACGTCAGTGCTTATGTTGCACGAGTGCCCACTACTGGCGGAACCCTTACAATGGGTTTAAATGGACCGCCCTAAGCCCCTTCATCACTTGTGGGTAAATTAAGTGTGAGCACTGCCAGTTGTTGTTGTGATGTCACATTTGTGTTGCATTGTCATCTATGGATCTACCTGAAGTTTATAAGTATGGGTGCTTCTCATTTCTTATTTGTGCATCCTCGTTTCCTTTCCTCACGTCTTAGCTTCACCTCCTTAGGATGCGAGGGAAGGATACACCTGTGTATTCACCAACCCTAATTAAACACCCGAACTTGCTAATCAAGGTCTTCAAGGTCACTATAGAAACTTGGTGAAGCTAAACTCTTAAACTTAAGGATTACTGGACACTCCTGATTTAGGACAAAAAAAGGTTGGGAACCCCTGTTATGTGCCCGTTTAGATGATCCATAATGTGTCATGTGAACGCATACATCGATCGCATTATGGTAATAAAATGTGTGGTAAATGCTGTTTCATGCTGACTTTAAATGCCTATAAAAGCAACTTGCTTTGAATGGAAATAACACTGGTAGATATTGAATGAAAATGAAGGAATTGAAGTAAATGCCTTCAGCGGGCCAAGCTTGTCTGAACAACTAAATGACTTTCAAAAAGTTTCTTTATTAATCAGTTGTGAGTGACAGTATCACTGGTGACCATCACGGATTGAGATTCCATTGTACTGTATTTATAATCCCATTTGATTTTAGCACTAAAAAGAGCATTTACCCATGAAACTCCTCCAAGTCCTCCCTGAAGAGTTGTAGACACTCAGTCGAGCTGAACCCATTCATTCATAAGCATTTTTGCAGCATCAAAAGCTTATGCACATGTGCTGACAGTGGGTGCAGCATTATCACTGAGCTGATTCTTCCTTATTAAAGCATGTCAGTCACCCTGTTATTGAACCCTGGAACCCCACCCAACTTCAGTATCTGTGTCTGATGAATGACTTCAAAATATGCAGCACTGCCGTTTGCTGGGATTCACCCAAGGCTTTGAGTGTATAACTCAAATTCAGTCAACTTAGGTCAACAGCAAGTCCCATCAAAGTCAGCTGGATATTTCACCTCATAATTTCCTCGTGAACGAATATTCCCCTTAAGGAAGTACAGTAGGCAATAACGTGCACCAAGGTGAGGAGGATTATGTTCAAAAGAACAAAAGGAAATAACATGATCTGCCATTACCTATCTATCTATCTTGTTTGAAAACAGCCTTATTTTTTTCAATTCACAAAAATGACATGCTTTAAGAATTTCTACCTATATTTTTTTCTCTTATACAAAAGGTCTGATGTGATATAGCAATTTGCCAAGATATATCGTGTGCACTGACCTTTGCCCTTGTTTTGTGAACTCTGACTACAGAGTGGTGGTGTAGTACATGTAGGTACGGTGTGTGTTTGGGTCAGGAAGCATAGGGTAATTACAGTGTAGACACCAGCTGCTGCTTCTGCATTCCAACACATACTGATGCTGCCAAAAGAGGTCATGACACATCACATAAACAGATTCCACCATGACAGATCCCCTTACAAACACTTAAGATGTTACCTGTTGCGGCCGATGAATGGATTTATGAATCTTAAAGATACTTCGGAATATGGATTTTGACATCTAAACTCTTCGCCAGTTCAAATTCCGATTCGGTTATTAGGATGGCTGATTGTAACCTTACCAGTCTTTCTCACTGTTTAAGTCATTTTGGCACTTACAAATCATGTTGTTTATCCCGCTGGCAGTCTGATGATTGAAGGTGTGACATTATGTATACACACATACACAAGAAGTAATCCGGTTCAGAAGTTCAGCTGAACCATGATCCTGCCTCAAGGGCATGATGGAACACTAAAGAGAGAAATAGGATGATACCACATGGATTTCAATAGAAATGTGATTGTTAGATAAAAAAAAAAAGATGTCTGTTAACACTGACTTCAGCAGAGCAGAAACAAATTATTATTAATATTATTATTCACACTATATCACAATTTGTTATTGTATAATGTATTATACATGTTATAATGTAGTAATTGTAATTACTTTTCCTAAATTAAAATGCTATTAAGAAAATGTAGCTTTTTAGTGGGATTAGCACAAGTGTAATTTAAAATGGTAAAATGTCTTTAACAGTCTAAAAAATCTGCTGACCGAATGGTAGTTACAGCATTTACCAGCAGGGGTTGACTGAGCTGAACCTTGAACCTTTGTTTGGACTACGGCTGCGTCCGAAATCGCATACTCTCTTGAGTAGGTACTTACCATATTTTGAATAAGTAATTACTTCCCGACCACTTAAAAAGTATGTTCTATATGGTATGAATGTAATCTGGACGTACTACATTCGCCTTGTTATTATTATTACGTGACCTACCAGCATCAGTTACATCGCTTCACCGCCATTCACAAATCCTCTCCCGTTTCCTCAAGGGATAATAAAGTGTTCATCGTATGCAAACTTCAGAATCTTTCCGGAAGTAGTAGGTCGTCCGGGGACTTTTTGCCTGTAGGGAATATATGCGATTTCAGATGCAGCCTACAACCTTTTTTCCCCTCCATTTTTAAGAGATCAAGGTCAAAGGTTAAGATCACATTAGAGTCACAAAGCTTGCACAATTTTGTGTTTATTTGCTCACCGTTTATATATATATATTTTTTTATCTTTATTTCTCATTCTGCTCTATTTTGCCCTCAATGGAAAAATCTTGTCATTTTTATACTAATTTGGAACCAGTTCTAAAGGGCACTAAGAATCAAATACAATCTTACTTAAAAAATAAACTGAAATATTCAGTACTGTCTCATTAGATTCCATTTGGGTTCTTATTTGATTCCATTGGGACTGGTTCCAAATGATTAAAGAAATTTCAGTATCCCACGATAGTCACTTCACTTTGTTTCTCCCAACATATACCCTTTCTAAATTCTACCTGTCCCTCTCTCACCACTCCCCATTCCTCCACCTCATGTCCCATCCTCTCCAATAACTCTCTCACCCTTGACACTCACCGAGACACAGCATATTCTCCATCTGGCATGCTTGTGTGCCCTTCGGCTGCTAGTCTTAGGCAGAGGTGGACAGTAACAAAGTACATTTACTTGAGTAGGCTACTGTACTTAAGTACACTTTTTGAGTATCTGTACTTTACTTGAGTATTGTTTTTTTCTGGAAACTTTTTACTTTAACTTCACTACATTTGAAAGACAAATATCGTACTTTTTACTGTACTACATTTCTGTCAAGGTCCTTGAGTAGAAAGTAGTAACGGTAACAGTCAGGGGAAGATTTTGTCTGTCCGGCGTTGGATTTTGGTTGGAAATGAAAGTCGGGTTGACGTCAGAACCCGACGTCAGATTGACGTCAACATCCAACGTCGAAAAGATGTTGGATTTTGGTTGGAAATGAAAGTCTGACGTCAGATTGGTTCTTTGGTTCTTTGATTGACGTCAGATTGGTTCTTTGGTTCTGATGTCAACCCGATTTTCATTTTCAACCACGATACAATTTGATTTGACGTCAATCTGACGTTGGATTCTGACATCAACCTGATTTTCATTTTCAACATTGGGTTTGGTCTTTTAAATGCGAATTTTGTCATTGTTTTGGAGCACACTAGCTTATAGATAACAGTAGGCTAACACATTCATACTAAAAGCCCAAAAACTTTTCACAGAGACTTTAAATAGGGCACTATTTGAGGGAACAGCCATTTGGGTGTCCGAAACCATTGTGGACGTTATTGAGTGCACTTATTCAATCTCACATTCAATCCCACTACTGGAACGGTGTTCTAGAAATATGAGGGCAATTTCGGACACAACCAATATCTGATTAACGTGAATATTATTACTAGTCTTCTTGACCAGATGTCATCCTTTTTTTAAATCTTGTAGGATGTTACAACGGGGTCCCTGGGGTGTGTGTCAGTCCATGACAAAGTCTTTGGTAAGTTTTATGTCCATACACGTTTGTAAGCTGTTATTAAATGGATTGTATTAATTGCATGTTTCCTGCTGGCTGACTCAGAGGCTTCAGTCTTGTCCTTCATGTTCTAGAGTTTAGTGTTAAACTTAACATCCTAATACTTGTCTAGATGAGACTACACAAGGCAGATGATGAGACCTTCACTGCAGAAATTGCAGTAACCTAGTTAGTTAACAGTAATATTGTTGAAATATTATTACATAATTGCAAAGCTGAATTTTCAGCATAATTACTAAAAATACTTAATTACAGTCTTCAGTGTCAGATGACCTTATGAGGATTTGCTGCTAAAGAAACATTGCTTGTTATTATCAATGTTGAAAACTTTGTGCTGCTTAATATTTTTGTGGAAACCATAATACATTTTTTTCAGTATTCTTTGATGAACAGAAAGTTCAAAAGAACACTGTTTATTTGAAATAGAAATCTTTTGTAAGATTATAAATGTATTTACACTTGTACTGTTCATTTAAATGTATCCTTTCTAAATATATTAATTTCTTTAAAAAAGATCTCACTGACTCCAAACGTTTTTACTTTAATTATTGTATTGTAATGTTTATTAATTTGTGTGTGTTTTTTTTTAAATAGTACTGATGCTCATGCTTAACAAAGTCCAAATAAACACATTAAATCTCTTTATTGAACAGAAACATCTTTAACAACATAGAAGAGCTCCAAATGCACATTTCAAAATAGATATCATAAAAGATATAAAATTAACGAGCACTACCGAACAAGACAAACATTAGCACAGGAACTACAAATTACACACAAGTATCGACACGACAAGAATACACATATACTCCTAATTTGGAGAAAAAGTGCTGCTTGTTTTCTCCTTCCCTGTATTTAAACTGAAACTCCAGTTCACAGCGCAAAGATCATTTTTCACAGCTTACATTCATGATAAACACAAATAACTATGCATTAGTTGCCTATTTATGTACTTTAAAGCATTCTGTAAGTACTAGAATACAGAGTCGCAACAACGACAGCATGTACTGTATAGATAACTAGTCTTTTTAATAGTACAGTGGCCTAGAAATTAGAAAGTGGCATAATATTATTTCTTATTTAGTGAGCTATCCCTATCCACTTGAAAAATACATATATAATTCGAGCTTATTTGTTCCTACTTCATTTCATTTAAAAAAAAACAGGTTTTGTTTATATATCACATACAACGCTGAGATGAATTTAAATGCATTTCTATTCTTTTTTTCCTCCTAACAAGATATGTAGGATCGATGTCCTCATGCACATCAAAATGGCTTTTTGTATGTATTTTACACAGGCTTAAGTAACTTTTTCATGCATTCTAGTGGATAATTTACCCTTTTCATAAGTTCACTAACAAACAAGAGTTCAAGACTTTGCATTATCTAATGACTGTGTCAAGTCCATCATTCCACCCTTCTCTATCAGATTTCCAGATGTTTTGCTTTGCATAAACATTAGGAAGGAAACTGCATATGACTGCAAATGATTCCCAAAGGCAGTTTGACGTTTGTGCGTATGTGGTACAGTGTCTAATTGATGTTTTTTTGCCTATATATGCGTGGACTCCCTCCGGTTTCTCTCAATCCCGTGGGTTCTGTAGTTAAAAAACACGTGCAGTCCGTTGACCGGATGCACGATTGGCACCGTCTGCATCCTTGGATACGTTTCTGTCGCCAGAGTGCAGTCTGCCGTGGCGAGCAACTCCACTGCGAGAGTTTTCAGCACAATCAAAGCAAGCTCCCGTCCGATGCATCTCCTCACACCGCCTCCGAAAGGCACGTAACTGAAGCGCTCGGTTTTGCTATGGTCTCTATCTGCACAGAATCGGTCCGGGTCGAAGAGCTCCGGGTTCTGATACGCTTCTGCAGTCTCGTGCGTGTCACGAATGCTGTACATGACGCTCCAGCCCTTCGGGATCTGATAACCCTGCAGATGCACAATATAATAGAAATGATCAGTGTTGGGGGTAACTCATTACAAGTAACTTGAGTTACGTAATCAGATTACTTTTTCAAGTAACTAGTAAAGTAACACATTACTTTTTCAATTTACAACTAAATATCTAAGTTACTTTTTCAAAGAAGTAACGATAGTTACTTTTCACATTTATTGACTGACAGCTCTCCTGTCCCCATGTTGAGAGAAATAAAGTGAGGAGGTGTTGTGTGTGCTGTGTAAACATGATGGTTATTTTAGTTCTAGACTAAATGTGAACATGCATTTACTCAGCTCACTTGCACGAAAACATTCCATATTCCTCAAAATGAATAAAAACAGTGAAATGCAATCCCAGAATTTTACGCAAAACTTTTATAATTAACTATATATATACTTTATGTATTTAATCTCACTTTATTAACCAATGTCTTTGCTGCTGACCTTCAATGATCTAATTCAACCATACTAATAAGCAAAAATTACTTTAGATTAGATTTAGAAATAAGAGTGGTGAACTTTCTTCTCCTGTATTCTATTGTTCTTTAATCCAGAATGGCCACACAGCTGAAAGGTTTGTTTGAGCTGCGCTCTCTACTGTACAGGCATAAATATGCATTTCATTCAGCCTGAGGCTTATTCATTTCACTTTTGGTGTGAAAGGGCCTTAACATTTGCCAAAAATATAACTTTTTTGGTTGTTATTAAAAAACAAACAAGCAAGCCCAGCCCAGGTGAGAAAAGTAACGCAAAAGTAATGTAACGCATTATTTTTCATAATGCAATTAGTTACTTTTTTGGGGAGTAAAGCAATATTGTTATGCATTACTTTTAAAAGTAACTTTCCCCAACACTGGAAATGATTACGTTAGACAGAGTGTATTGCCTTCTAGACCCAAATCAGTTTATTATTCAACTTTTCGTACACCATTTTAGTGTTTGATGCACATGTTTTTTCATCAGCAACATCTGATTATTATTGTAAATGGAGTAACTTTAAATAATGTTTTAAAAATGGTGTTAGCAGTACTTGTATTGGTCAAATGTAAAAAAAACACACACTCACGTTCAGTTCAAATGTTTGCAGAACTGTCCTGTATCCCCCAGACACTGGTGGAAGGAACCGAAGCACCTCTTTGACCACACAATCCAGGTAAGAAAGTTGACTCAATTTCTCCAAACTTAGGTAAGGGACATGGGTCCGAGAGTGACACCCCTCTTCCTTGTCTCCTGCTTCAAAACACATACTTCTATTCGTCTTCGATCTATACTCGCTGGTACTCTTCTCGGCAGCATCGCTTTCCTCACTGATGATGTTTCCATGGCAACGAGAGCGGCAGGATCCGTGCACGTCGCTGATCAAGCCTTCGCTCTCTAACTCTGCTCCTGCACGTCTGCTCACATCTGGATGACGCAGAAGCTGCATGATGAGGGATGTTGATGCGCTGGCGGTAGTGGAGTGGGCAGCGAAGATTAACTCTACCGCCGTTTCCTGAAATACATTTTCATTTATTCATTTAGCAAAAAAAGCCTTGAGTAAATTGTGAAAAAAAATAAAAAAAATTTAAAGGGGTCATATAATGGTACATGCACTTTTACAAGTTGATTGTACTGAAATGTGTGTTGGCAGTGCCTGTACACAGCCATCATATAATGATAAAAATCCATCCAGTGGTTTTGTTTTAATCTCCTTATATGTTTTCCCCTGCCTCAAATTGAGCCGTTCGATTTTGTGACATCACACGCTCGGAAGCCCCTCCCACGATTGTTGATTGACAGCATCGTTTCAACACAGACCCGCCCTCGCTCGTGAGCCAGCTGTCAATCATAGTCTGCGCGGCGCGGACCGGCGCGGTCATTGTTGATATGCTGGAGCACTGTCTATAAGCAGAATGGCGTCTAAGCGATTGTGGTGTTCTGTTCTTGGGTGTAATAACGAACACAGCAGTCATTTTAATGTTCCTAAATCCGAACCGCTGAAGACGCAGTGGCTGAGTTTGTTTTCGAAGGGAATATTCCCCACGAGCAACGTCAATGCTTTCATGTTTGCGCGAATCATTTCTCACCAGACTGCTTTATAAACGAGGGTCAGTATAAAGCTGGTTTTGCTAAGAAGCTGCTCATGAAAAAAGGATCGGTACCAGCTATTCGTGTTCCTGCTGAACCTCTAGAACAACTGAAGTGAGTGTAACGTTTTATTAACCTTTATATTAATATTTATATCTTTGCAAATCGCTTGCACGCTTCACGATGAATGAGTCTAAGGTTTACACTTAGGGTACATTACGGCATGTTTTCTATGTATGACGTTCTCAATATAATTCATAATCCCACGTTTATACTGAACAACGCGTTATGGTTATTGTGTTACAAATGGTGTACGCACAGAACAGAGAGGCGGGGTGAGCAAAGCTCATTATCATTTAAAGGCATATGCACTGAAACGGCGTGCTGAAAACAGAGCTGTTTTTGACCAAGTAAAATAAGTGTTTTCTTACAATACTAATGAGAATTTTTAATTAAAGTATATTACAAACTTTTCATTTAGACCCTAAAGAATCATACCAGCTTGTACAAAAATGGCATTATATGACCCCTTTAAAGTACACACTTAAGTGCAAACTGAATATACATTTTTTTGGACATTTAATTACATATTAATTGCAATTAAATGAAAATGTATTATATTTAAATGTATATTAAATGCAATGAACTGAAAAGTGTTTTTTTGACCCGCTTAAGTACTTAATTTACTTTTAGGACTTCATTTAATAATTACTTATTTTGTCTTTGAAATGTGATTAAAGTGTACTGTGGAGCGTACTGGTAAATAAAATATACTATCATGTCATTTCTATTGAAATGTTTATATGTATTTAAATATATTTGTAATTACACATTTGTATTGCATTTAGTAGATTTAGGCCCGGATTCACAGACAGGGCTCAGATTAAGCCAGGATTAGGCCTTAGTTCAATTAGGATATTTAAGTAGCTATTAACATGCCTTAGAAAAAACATTACTGATGAAAGTACATATCTATGTCAGTGCAAGTTCCTTTCAGTTAAAACAGCTCAAACATGCTCAAACAACTTAAACCCTCGGATTCACAGACAAGGCTTAAACCTAGTCCCAGACTAAAATGCATGTTTGATCTGTTTTAACTGAAAGCAACTCGGACATATAAAATATGTCATTGCCATTGTTTTGTCTCAAGATGCAAATCAATAATATTTTTTCTAAGGCACGTTTATAAAAGCTACTTAAATGTCCTAATTGAACTAAGGTCTAATCCTGGCTTAATCGAAGCCCTGTCTGTGAAACCAGGCCAAAATGTATTATCAAATAACACACAGTTAAACAGTTAAAATTATCATCGAGTATTTTACATGTGCTTTAGTATTTTAGACAAGACAATAAAACACCAAATGTAACAAAGTAAAGCTTTTATTTTGACATTAAAACAAAGTGCACTTTTTTTTAAAATGTACTTAAGAGTGTTAAAACATTTCATTAATGTTTACTATAAGTACGCTTAAGTGGCCTTTTATGTCATTAATATTATATTATCTACAAGTACAGTATTTTAAAATATACTATTAATATTTGAAGTACACTACAGGTGCACATTCCACACAGTTAAGCACACTTCTTTTTCACAAGGGTGGGTATAATGCAAAGATAGCACACACTATTTTTGGATTTGGCCTACTAGTTTTTACCTTAAGTTCTTGCATTGTAAGGTCGTAGTCATTTTCCTTCGCACTACTCAGCATATAGTCAAAAGCGTCGCAGTAATCGCTGGCTTGCTGCTTTTTCAGTTTTTCCTCTATGATCCTCTCCATGGCAGAGTGCAGAATCTCACGGGCCCTGATTCCCTGCAACCCACATTCATAAAAGATTTTGAATGTAGCCACGATTTAGACATTCATCAAGCTGTGAGACAAAGTGAGATTTGGCCTGAGGAAGGAAGGTCATTCTCACCTTGCGCATGCCGCTTATGGGGGTGTCAATGGGAAGCGAAAAGAGGTTGTTCATGAGCTGTTCAAAGGTTTTAGAGAGAGAAGCGATTTGCTGCTCATCCAGGTGCAGACCGAGCAGGACTTGCACAGCGATGCGGAAGGTGAGTGACTTGGCTGCGGCGTAAACATCCACAGACCCGGTCTCGGTGCACCACTTTGCAATTTCAGACTTGACCACGTCTTGAAGTCGTGTCAGATAGGCCTCCAGCGCCCCACGGCTAAACACTTTTGCAAGGATCTAGGAAGCAAATAGAGAGCTGCAGTGTTGTATTTTCGTAGGCCAACCCAGAAGTTCACATAACACTGGTTCCCTCGACAAATCCCAACAGGATTCTTCCATAGGCTTTTAAATTATCACAAAAAAATAATCTCTGTGATCAACAAAAGTTTATGTTACTTACAAGTTTTGTCAATCAAGATCATTTTCACAAATGAACACAAATTTTATGAATTTTGAAGGCTACATACACTATCTTCAGCGTCACCATCACCAAGCTTCTGACAACTCTTTCAGTCTTTATTTAAAAAAAAATGGTAACACTTTATTTTAAGGTGACATAGTTACACTTTCCTTACTCAAATAAGTACTGAGTAATATTAATTAACTACATGTACTTACTATAGAGTTAGGGTTAGGTTTAAGGTTAGTTACTTGTAATTATGCATCATTTACTATGATTACTATAGTAAGTACATGTAGTAATGTGTAACAACGTCACCTTAAAACCCAACCCGATCTCACGACCAATTCGTACGAATTTGTAGGATTTTTGCTAAATCGTACATATTTTACGAATTCCAAATTCGTATGAATTCATACGAATGACCTACGAATGACCTACCCCTGACCCCGCCCCTAAACCTACCCATCACGTGGGTTTAGACAAATCGTACGAATCCGTACGAGTGAGTTCGTATGAATTCGTACGAATTAGCCACCTTTTAATCATTTGTACAAATTCGTACGAATTGGTCGTGAGATAGCGTTGGTAAACCCCTTGGGTAGGATTAGTGGTGTGGGGTACGTGCGTATTACACGCATAAAGTGCGTATCATTTGCATGTGAAAACTGCGTTTCATATGCACGTAAAAACTCATTTTCGCATATAAATTGCACGATAAATACAATGCGTGCTCTAAAGACACATTTCATGCTCACTGAGGCTGTGAAAGCGGACTAGTGCGTAGATGAGTTTACCTGTTCGGTGTCTGTAGGATTGTTTAATGTCCCTGACAGTCCCATTTAGCACCTTGTTGTCAACCAAGGCACGTAAAAGTTTTTTACGGCACGTAAAAGTTAAAAAAATCACAAGTGGGGTATTACTCATGTGTTTTATGTCGTGAAACTATCTTGAGCTTGTGTTCACCACAGACCTTATTTCAGGCTTTTAACCAACTTTGGGACGATGGAACCAGAAGAGCTAAACGGGTTTTGGCCTACAAAAATACGTCTGGACTACATAAAAACAATGTTTATTGATCAAATGGATAACTTGATCAGTAATGGCTAGAAATGAAATGTCATTTTTTGTGAGTTCAAAAAAAAATGTATTCAAGAGGTAAAGAGTTCATCTTTACGGCGATATTTATGGGAGAAATAAAACTACTAATGTGTTAAACTTAAGCACAAAATACTTTTCGATTAGATGCCTTTTTTATTGAGGACTGAAAAGGTGCATGCATTTCAGACATTCAGCTTACTTTTCTTTTCCTCTTGTGCAGGTCACCAACTGAGTTTACCAGAGTGTTGGGCCCCAGGATGATGCGTGTGCTCTGGGGCCACTGCGTGCACACCAGCGTGTGTTCGCCCAGCAGAATCTTTCGGATGTTTTCTGCACCGGTCACTCGGATGAGGGGTTTTCCCAAAAGGTGAGTTTTGAAAACATTTCCATGTTTCTCTCGTCTAGAGATGTGAAAGCTGGATCCCTGTTAAAATATAATTAACAACTTTTAGAGGGTTGCAACACCCCGGGTCCCCACTACTTTTGACCAATTTGTTTCTTAAAGGGGAGGGGAGGGGGCTACTATGGATACATGGATACTTCCCCACCCACTCCTCCCGACGTTTTTGCTTTTTAGCGGCGTGTTGGGGTTCCGGTACACCAGCCATATCAACGAAACAAATGAATGAAAATGAGCTTATCAATGCATATCTAAATTTGCGACTACGGTATCTTTGTAGAACTTCAAAAAAAGAAACAAAAAAGATGCTGCAGCCAATGAGCAGCCGGCAGGGTCTGGCTGAAGGACGACTCAACCTCCACGGACAGTTTTTAATGTTTTATCAGACATCATTGTTTTGCAGCACACTAGTTTATATATAACAGTACGGCTAACATATCCATAGTAAACGTAAAAAAACTTCAATTTTGATTTCATGGGGACTTTAAGGCCAATTCACACTGCACAGACAAACGTCAACAAACCAGTTGGCCATTGGATTTAGAATTTTATGAAAATAACTGTCATGTTCACACTCCCAACAGACAAATGCTGATTAAACATGTGATTGACAACATGTGTTTGTTGGCATTTGTCTGTGCTGTGTGAACGGACCTTTAGACTTTTCCAGTTGTTTGTGACTATAAGGATTTTATAGAGTTGAGTGTAACTACAAACATCTATATTCAATTTTATACCGATATAGAAATTTCCATGTTATTTTTATTAATTTTCATGACTCTATTTCAGGACTACGTCTAGCCTACCAATTTTTAAAATTCCTGATATTTCAAGGTTTTCCATGACCACATGGAAACTGTGTACCATTTTTTCATCTTCTGGAATTTATTTATCTGTTCTGCCACTGTGCATGAAATCAAGGTGAAAATGTTTGTTTTTACCACCACGAAGGTTGCCAGGTCGGTGGCTCTGTGCAACAAAAGTAGCCCAATTGGCCAGTCAAAAGTCGCCCAAAAATAGCCCAATGCGATTTTCTCCTTCGGACGAATTCTCCAGTGAATTTGTATGTTTAAGGCTGTTGTAGCGCCCAAATCTACGGGGGTGGAACAACCCGCGGGGAAAAAATTAACCAACAACTTAAAGTATCCCAATTCCGCGGGAAAACCGCGGAATTGGCAACACTGAATCATCAAGTTCACACATGCCACGGAATAATTCCCCATGTGTATTTGTATAGGCCAGCAGAGGAGCTCTTATATGCATCATTCCTTTGAGAAAGCATTGCACTTTGCTTGACAAAATGCAATAGGCTAATATTAGCAAAATAACATAACAGTAGTAGGATATGCCTACGCAACACTCCAATATGCCTACATTTATGATGGAAGAAATAAAATAACTAACTTTTAAAATAAATTCTAAATGAGGTTTGTGTGGAAGTCGACCCTTTCAGTAGACCTTTTTGCCGTTTAATATTTTTTAGGCCTACCAACATAATCAGTGTGTAAATTACGTTTGTCTTTATAGGCTACGTTTCAAAAGCACGTAGCCTATTGTGTTTAAGATTTTTAAAGATCATTTCAGTAGGCTATAGCCTACCCACAAAAGTTTAGGCTACATGAGTCAGAGTGCGACAAATGTTTAAGAAATCGGCTTTAAGTGAGGAGGTAACCATAGCAACACGTATTTGGTTTTCAAAAAAATGAACCTCAAAAGAAAATTAGCCTACTTACAGAAATTATTTTACAAATAACTAATGCCCGCACTGGTTTAAACAGCATTTTACATTAAAACGATATGCATTGCTTGTTATTTGTAATTAATATATTTTTATTTATTTCAAAAACATTTTAATATTAGGCTACAATAAGTCTATAATAGCCTACAACTCATAGTGCGACTTTCTAATTGAGAGAACAGACAATAGAATGAAATGCATACTTGTTTTCGCTAGATCATAAAACACATATAGAATCCAATGTCTGAGAAGAATTGTATAAATATAGGCTATTCAAGTATTACCTGGAAAAGCCAGTGGAAAGTTTCTCCGACCAGCGGCCAGCCCATGGAGCCCTGCGGAAGTGGGAGTTTACACGCCCGATCCCGGGTGATGCTCCACCTGAACTCCCACAGCAGCCGTGAGGCCACCAGCAACAGCAGCACCGGTAACACGGCACCGGCAGCCGCCAGCAACGCGGACACGAGGCAAATATCGTGCCCGAACATCTCCAGCGATGAGCAAAGCCAACAAGTTAGAAGAAAGAAAATAATTCACGTGCGCCCGTGCTGCTGTTGATGCTCTCTACTTGATGGAGCGCCTCCAAAAGTTGTGCGACGCGCAAGAAGGTCCCTTTACGCGCTCATTGGATATCTATGGAATAAAAATATGAGATTAGCTACATTAGGCTAAATTTAACATGGGCTGCATGAAGAGAGGATCTACCTTTGCTTTCAGTCGCTCCAGCTTCACAGAGGACAAGAAACTGACAACTATTCCAAACAGTTTTACAAGTTGCATGCGCTGGCATGTCTTTCATCCGCGTTTATCCACCTTTTCTTGGGGTGCAACCCCTGGGACAGCCCTGCTCTCACCCACTCTGACTGCAAATCAGACTCCTCCAACTGAATTTGAGATTATGAGAAGTTTGGAAACGAGCACAAATGTGTGCCTAATAAAGAAAATCTCAAACACTTTCGGAGTAAGTAAAACTCATACACTCTTAAAAATAGCATAATATAGCCTAGTGTGCATACATTCAACCTCAATCAACTTTTATTCTTTGGGTGTTTTATTAAACTTTAATTCTGTCCTGAAGAACATAGTGATAAAGTAAAGAATTTAAAAAAAAAAAATTATATCCGAAGAATCAGTGAAAATGGCAGATGGTTATTAGGCTACTGGTAAATGGTAAAATGGACTGCATTTATATAACTAACCTAACCTAATAATCACTGAAGAAACCTTATTTTTAAGGGTGTAACAAAAAAAAATCACTCTGTCAGATCTGTGGCTATAAGACATGCAATCAGTAATTTAAAAACACATAATCTTAATCACAAAACTCAGGGTGACCTTACAGATGAAACAGAGACCGGCAGTATACTCACCTCAGCACTAGTGTAAAATCATTCCGAAGATATCCAGTGAAACTTCCAGAATCTGTCTCTCTTTGGGTTAGCTATGTGACTTCAGTGCATCTCGCGCGCTCGAGCTTTATAGGTATTGGCACATGTTATGATCCACCTTCACCAGTGACGTGTGAGCAGTTTTTTTTCTCTCTGATAGTTGAAGAGGTCGTGGATAGATCACAGGGAAAGCATGGGAAACGTTTGAGATCGTAGGTTCCACAGAGGGAATCAGAAAGAAAGAAAGGAGAGAGAGAGAGAGAGAGAGAGAGAGAGAGAGAGAGAGAGAGAGAGAGAGAGAGAGAGAGAGAGAGAGAGAGAGAGAGAGAGAGAGAGAGAGAGAGAGAGAGAGAGAGAGAGAGAGAGAGAGAGAGGGGTGGAGAGGGATAGAGAGAGAAAGATTGTAGGGGTTTTACTGATTGGTTACATATTTCCTCATTGAGATTCCCTTCGATCCACTTGTCATCACATTATCATGCATGACATTTTAGGCAAGCATTGTGGTAGAGTTTACATATATATATTTTTTAAAAATAATATTTTGTATAAAAAACAAACGTTATTTACTAAATTATAAAATATTTACTAAAATAATCAGATTTTTATAAAGTAAAACGGATAAAGAAATTATTTAGAAACTCAAATATGAAAAAATAAAATAAAATAAATGAAGAGTAGGCTAATAAATGAGAGAATGTAACCCCTTTGTGGATATTACTTTCAGAGGGCCAAAAGAATATCAGTAATTTTCTGAACTCATCGTTTAGAATTCGTCTTGCGCAATTTAGATTGTATTTTGGCTCCCCGAGAACAGTTAACTATCTTAACAACATTTTAAACAAAAACTAATAATTTTGTAACATATTTGTGATGTCTAAATCTATTAAAATGTGTTAAATAATGACATTTGTCGATGTATCCGTCCGATACACACATCAGCGAGTTACCTGTTCACGCAAAGGCGATTTCTGTTCGAGAACGTTTAGGCTATTTAGGGTACATAAACTTTTAAAGATAATTATCATTATGCGGTTTATTTATTCCCGTCGATGTATGTTACATGTACACAAATAATTCCTATAATTGTTAGCGTTTTAAAATGATGCCAGTATCATTCGCTCATGCTTTGGCAGGGGAAAAAAAGGTAAATAGCCTTACACCCCAAAGCAAAGCTGCTATGTAATTGTTATTATCCCATTAACAATAACCAGTTATTAGTCTATACTGGTCGAAATTTTTTTTTTTTTGCATTTCAATAAATTACAAAAAATATAAACTGTCATTAACACAGACAAAAACAATGAATGAAGAATGCAAAAGTGTACATTCAGATTTCAATATTATTAGCACATTTCCTTTAAGCCATTTGCAATAATAATATATGTAAAAACAGAGAAAAGTTGTGTAATTTTGTGTAAAAAAGGATCTATTTCTCTCTGATCACAGTGATTTCACAGACCCTCTAAGAGCTTCTTATGTTGTTTTTGTTGTTGTTGTTGTTTAATGCTGCATGTTTAAATTGGGTCAGAAGATGCAGAAGATGGCTAGTGTTCATTTTTCTTTCTTGAATAATTTCTGATGATTAAACTATGTAAAACTAAAGGTCAGAGTGAGAAAGGGCAGGATAAGGAGAAGACATTCCCTGTCTCGGGTGGTTGAACAAATCCCGTTATTAATTTTAACAACAGAGACTCAGAATACCAACTAAAGCTCAAAGTCAAGTTAAAGACATGCAGAGGCTTGCCACATAGTCACACACTCATGGCCAGGTCTCCTCTCACATATATCTGTCCTATACACAAACAAATGGAAACATTTGGAGGCACTATATTATACAATATCAGTAATTTTTCCCTAAATGCACAGATTTAAATGTTCATTCATTCAAGATGCAAGCATCACTCCTATTTACTGTTTTTAAATTACCCAGATATCCATTTCTGTGCGTGTTAAGATAAGTGCAGAAACAATGAAAGTTGTGAAAATACAACATTCTCACTCCAGCTGTGTCAAATACAAGATTAATCATCTGGCAAAGGCTAAAGGAACCCTTTGCCGTTTTTATATTAATTTTATAGTAGCCTAATTTTGATCACAATTTACATTTTACTGTACTCAGTTCTAATACATACTTTTATCATATTTTTATGTTCAATGTAATCATTTGATATATTTGTCATATCAACCATACTAAATTGCTAAAGTATACGTATGTAAATATTTCCATAACTTTTCACCCATCACCTGTCAGATCCCAAAGCATGACATCATCAAACAAGTCATTAAAACCACATCACAACACCAGATAAATAACAACGGAATTTTACCATGCGTCTATGAGAAATTCATCATAATTAACATGAAACATGAAACTGTTGATGTTGACTAAGGCAGTGATATCATTTTTGTTGATTTTCCCCCTAGCTAAAACAGACACGTTTCAGTGCCTTCAATGACAATGCTGATCTTTGATATCAAAATCGCCTTTGATCAACTTTGTGTAATGACACACATTTGGAGGATCATTTTACTGGTGCTGTTTAGGTGATGTGCTGAAAATGTCCCTTTTTTCTGTTTTTCTGCTTTGTAGACGTTTATGCACACCCACACATTTACCTGCTAAAATCTTATATTGAGGCATCCCATTGACCTCTACATGGATAACATGTCAAATTATGTGACTGTTACTTTTGTGTAATAGTGACAATGTCTAAGTACAGTTTAGCTAAAAAAAATATATATATATTTTAATTATTTATCATAACCTTTTATCTTTTGTCAAATCAACTTAGATAGCTAATGTGGTGCAGATAACAGAATATTTTGACTTTCTATTTATTAAATCAATCTCCTTCATTGTATTAACTACATTTTTTTATTTTAATGAACTCAAAATTGTGAGGCAACCTGGTAGGCTAACATATATATATTTTTTCCCCCAATAATCCGCTTTTCTTGGATGTAGGCCTACGTCAAAATACTATAAGAAAATATTTTTCGCTACATCCATTTCATCACATTTTTTTTTTTTTTTTTTTTTTTTGTAGTGAATACAGACTTAACCCTCTGGTGCTGTTTGGTCATTTTTGAACAAAAAAATTAAGTTTTTGAATTAAAAAATTTTTTTTTTTACTTCATCGGAATGGTACGAAACTTGGTAAAGGTTTTAGCATTTGCTGTGTGAACACACACACACACACACACACACAAATCATGGACATAAAAAAAAATAGTACAAAATAGTTCTATTGTTCGTGGTCAAAAATGACTGCATTGGAAATGATTGGGAAATGAATTTTATCTACTGGAAACCTTTGGTAATACGCACAAACAAATTCTTACTGAAAGCTCAACCTCAAAAATGGAAGCTTTAGCGTAAGTTCTGCCAGGAAGACTCAATTGTTACGTCACATATTACCTTCTCATCTAACCAATCGTGTTCTAATACTCGTAGTATAAAAGATCGGTACTTACACATGTCTGAGTTCGCAGATGCTGACGCCAACATTCACATCCTCCCCACCACCACCAGGATGGTCCCTGCCCATACCTCCCAGGGGGTCGGCTGCGCCCCTGCCTTCGTCTTCGTCTTCAGGCGAAATGCAGAATCTGTTACCCTCGGATTGCGAGTTACGGACGGGGCCTACGCCAAAGAACTTTATATCATAATACTTGCTTGCTGGGCTGTTAATAAATGTATGCTTTGTTACGTCATTTTGCCTCCCGGGTCTTTCTGGTAGAACTGGAACTCAACTTGTTTAGATTTATGGCTTTGATTTTCTGTTTTATAGTAAAACGTGTTTCGGAAAACATTTAAATAATACGTTTTATTTTAAATTTGTGCATTTTTCATGACAATACATTTAAATAACTTTTAAAATGTAAATTTTATAACTTTTTTCAAGTTCACTTTTTAAAACTTTTTCAATAATTCAACACTTCAGCAATAATCAAGTGTCTTCTTTAAAAAGAGACCAAACTTAAGTCTGTGCTGCAAAGCATTCAAGATTTATCACAGTTTAAGTTGGAAATTTAAAGGTGCAATAGGTGATCAGGGAAATGCTAACTTTAGCCTGCTAGCATTGAAAGCATACAATCCCGCCTTCTGCCAATCGCAGTCCAAAGCCACGCCTCCTCCAAAACACATGACCGAGACTAGAGAAAACGTTATGGATTACATCGTGTGTCATTCACCAGTGGGAAAACTTTACAGTGAGTAACAGTACTACAAAAACGAACGTAAAAAAAAGTGTTTGCACAGCGTATGTGAAACGCACTTATGAAGTATGATGTCTGTGTGAACAGGCTGCGCAGTGGTATGCAAACACATGTTGACTGACTGGAAAACATACTTTCATTTCATTCGGACCGAATGCAATGATTGAACAATCATTTTATGGTCCTCCTACACCTTCCACAGACGATATACACTCACCGGCCACTTTATTAGGTACACCTGTCCAACTGCTCGTTAACACTTAATTTCTAAGCAGCCAATCACATGGCGGCAACTCAGTGCATTTAGGCATGTAGACATGGTCAAGACAATCTCCTGCAGTTCAAACCGAGCATCAGTATGGGGAAGAAAGTTGATTTGAGTGACTTTGAACGTGGCATGATTGTTGGTGCCAGAAGGGCTGGTCTGAGTATTTCAGAAACTGCTAATCTACTGGGATTTTCACACACAACCATCTCTAGGGTTTACAGAGAATGGTCCGAAAAAGAAAAAACATCCAGTGAGCGGCAGTTCTGTGGGCGGAAATGCCTTGTTGATGCCAGAGGTCGGAGGAGAATGGCCAGACTGGTTCGAGCTGATAGAAGGGCAACAGTGACTGAAATAACCACTCGTTACAACCGAGGTATGCAGCAAAGCATTTGTGAAGCCACAACACGCACAACCTTGAGGCGGATGGGCTACAACAGCAGAAGACTCCACCGGGTACCACTCATCTCCACTACAAATAGGAAAAAGAGGCTACAATTTGCAAGAGCTCACCAAAATTGAACAGTTGAAGACTGGAAAAATGTTGCCTGGTCTGATGAGTCTCGATTTCTGTTGAGACATTCAGATGTTAGAGTCAGAATTTGGCGTAAACAGAATGAGAACATGGAACCATCATGCCTTGTTACCACTGTGCAGGCTGGTGGTGGTGGTGTAATGGTGTGGGGGATGTT